GGATGTCGACATGGATATCGACATGGACCTCGACCACATCTCTGACGAGGAGGGGTCTGTCAGCGAGTAAATGAATGAACAGTGCGTGTCTTCTTTCATGTTGATAGCTATGGGTTTTTGTGTGGACGATGGGCTCATGTTTTGCGCGGAGGAACGGCACGGCACGATGGAGTAAGGAATGGCATTTCGACAACATACCCGGCATAGGTTTGGCGTCACGTTACAGACTTCAAGGCAACTGATGTGTTTTCTTCGCTTCTCTTTCGCTCCTTGAGGCATTGATGGGCTGTTGCATGTGCTCTTGAATGATGATGAAATGGGCCTGCGAGGTGCCTGGTCGTTCAGTTTTTATGCTGCTGCTTCAGATGGGGTGTCATTTAGATGTTAGACAAAATGGAAGATGAGTTGTTCTAGAAAGCCTGCCCTCTACCGTGGATAAACTTTATTGGGGATGCGTTTGGATCCCCTCTGGCGTGCCGGAACCCGAAAGACGCGCCACGTTATGTAAGCCTGCACGGGGAATTTGAAGTATATCTCGGTAGCACACCCACGACGACCCCCCTTGCTTTCCCCAGATCGTGTCACAGCTTTCCTTTTTCATCTCATGTTTATTTGACGAACTTGATCAGTGCTTCTTCGCCCTTCATCCACAACGCCAAGACATTTTGTTTGCGGGGATAGTCAGGTATAATTGGCGACATATCACAGAAAGCGAGAAGCGAGAAACTACGACAATGGGCACCGTCCTCTCGGCCCTGCGGTCCGTCGCAAAAGGCGCCACCGCCGTGGTGAAGCTCCTCGCGGACCTGAACAGACAGTACCAAGCGCTCCTTACGCGCGTCAACGCGCCGCCGGGGTTGCCGTACGAGAAGCCCAGCGCGCCGTACTGGCTGGACGATCCGCCGTTTCCGGAGCTTGTGGATGTGCGGAGCGAGGTGATGCCTGGCGAGGCGGACGTGGTGGTCATTGGCAGCGGGATCACGGCTGCGGCTGTCGTGTGGGGGCTGCTTTTTGGCGGCGGCAAGGAGGAGGAGGGGAAGAAGGTGCCGAGGGTTGTGGTGTTGGAGGCGCGGGAGCTGTGCGCCGGCGCGACGGGGCGGAATGGCGGACATGTGAAGGCGAGCCCGCACGAGCTGTTCCCGCGGCTGGCAAGGGTGTTTGGGAAGGAGAGGGCGCGGGAGTTGGTTAGGTTCACGTTGCGGACGGCGGGGCTTGTGGGGGAGGTTGGCACGGGAAGGGAGGTGGCGGAGTATAGAGACGTCGAGACGGTGGATTTCTTCCTGGACGAGGCGTCGTTTGAGGGCGCGAAGAAGGAGGTTGTTGAGTTGAAGGTGGCGGTTCCGGAGTTTGCGATACGGGTTGTGGAGAGGGAGGATGCGAGGACGGAGTTTGGGGTGGAAGGGGGCCATGTGTTTGGGGCGCTGGTGTATGAGGCGGGCGCGCTGTGGCCGTACCGGATGGTAGCGAGCTGTTGGCGGGAGATGCTTGATACGGCCGGGGGGAGGGTGAGCATCGAGACGCGGACGGCGGTGGAGGGGATCGAGATGGAGGGCGGCACGGAGAGGAGGCCGTATGTGGTCCGGACGGGGCGCGGGGATGTGCGGGCGCGGCATGTGGTGCACGCGACGAACGCGCACGCGTCGCAGTTCCTGCCCGGGCTGAGGGGGAAGATGGCGGGCGTGAAGGCGCACATGTCGGCGCAGAAGCCCGGGGGCAGGTTCGCGTGGCGGGACGGGAGGAGGTCGTGGAGCGTGTTATATGGAAGTGGCATGTTTGACTACGTCACGCAGCGGCCGAACGGGGACGTGATGCTGGGCGGGGGATTTGCGCGCAGTCTGGGGCAGGGGGTGGATATGGTGGGCGTGTACGAGGACGGGAGCACGGAGGGGCTGACGGTTGCGCATGTCGGGGGCGTGATGGGGGCTGTGTTTGGGGATGCGTGGGATGGGAGGGTGGAGAGGGTCTGGAGCGGGATTATTGGGGTGACGGGGGATATGGCGCCGTTTGTTGGGCGGGTGCCGGAGGGGATCTCGGGGAGGAAGAAGAGGGGGAAGGGGATGATGGCGAAGAAGCCCGTGAAGGAGGTTGAGGAGGAGGACGGGGGCTGGATGGGAGCGGAGGCCGGGGAGTGGGTGAGCGCCGGGTATAGCGGCGACGGCATGGTGTGGGCCTGGGGGTGCGGCACGGCGCTCGGGGTGATGATCTCGGGGCGGGAGGGGGAGAGTCTCGAGAAGGGACCTGGGTTTGCTGGAGGTCGGCTGGAGGAGTGGTTCCCGAGGGATTTGGTCATTACCGAGGCGAGGGTCCGCAAGGCTGATTTGAGCAACTTATTAGATGAGTTGATGTGAAGAGTTGTATATGAATAAAATATGAAGGCTTGAAGTTAGTAGTCTGGAGATTGTGCAGACTAGATTGCGGGCAAGATGCAAGAGTTGCTGAAGACTATCAATATCGTCTATGACACAGAACGTTCTATCAAATGAAATTTCCAACAACCCTCTCCTGCCATCGCAACTCAGCCTTGATTTCCTGACGTTATGAACGACATTGCCTTCGTCGAAACTGCACCAGACTAAATGACATCCCGCCTCTCCATCTGCTGCATAAATGCACCTATCAACATGCTCAATCTGCCGCGTCGAAACACGTGCCGAATTCCCCTTACCCACGCAACCGCGCAAAAAAAACAAAACCAAAAAAGATCGTCGTACCCGCTGCAAGCATCCCACACAGGGGTCTTCCAACAGGGGTTCGTCAGCGGAAGTATCTTTGTACCCCTCCTCCCATCGTGGAGCTCCTCCCTTCCGCTTCCCACTGAGCTGAAAGGCGCCCGCTGCGGGGTAGCTAAACGCGATGACGTCCCAGTAAGCTTTCCCTCTTTCTGTTTCTTCACAGCACCTACCAAGCAACCCACTTCCGTGTAAGAGTTTCTATCGGCGACCGACCCGAGCTCTTTTTTTTTTTACTTAGGTAGCTACGGATACTGCGCATGCCCACCGGCGTTTGAATCACCTCACACACCTTGTCCTTCTTGAGCTCCATTGCGGGTCGATACGTCCAACTAATCACTCACACTTCTTCAGCCGCAGTTTTTTCAAATCCCTAGTGCCCGCGGGAAACTCCTCTTGGCGATACCCTTGATAAACGGTCTCATTGTCTCCTCTTATCGTGTCACCAGCGCCCTTTCCCCACGCCTTAAAACCCGAAGCAAGCCGCCGCCGCCCATCACGCCATCATCGTGAACCCGTGATAATTATACCCAAACCCAACATCCGTCCGTCCCGTCCCCTGAATCCAGGAACAACGACTAGACTAGCTCCAACCCATCCCCCAAACCACCACAAATCTCGATACTAGTCGCATCCCCCCATTAACCACCACAACCACAATGCCTCAAATCCGCCTCGCGACCTCCTCCCCCGCCACCGCCCCCACGACCCCGCTCACCCTCGCCCTCATCGACCGCCTCGCCCGCCGCGCCTCCTCCCACGGCGCCGACCTCCTCCTCCTCCCCGAGGCCTTCATCGGCGGCTACCCCCGCGGCGCAGACTTCGGCTGCAAAATCGGCTCCCGCCTGCCCTCCGGCCGCGACGCCTTCCTCGACTACTTCGCCAACGCCGCCGACCTCGGCGACACCGTCGGCGACAGCGGCGCCGGCGCCGGCACCGCCTGGCTCAACAAGACCCTCCCCGCGCAGTTCCCCGACCCCGAAAGCAAGGGCTACACCCGCGGCGACGGCTCGCGCGAGGAGCTCGAGCGCATCGCCGCCCAGACGGGCGTCTTCCTCGTCGTCGGCCTGATCGAGAAGGCCGGCGGCAGCCTCTACTGCGCCGTCGTCTACGTCTGCCCGCGCAGCGGCATGCTCGGCAAGCGGCGCAAGGTGATGCCCACCGCGACGGAGCGCCTCATCTGGTCGCAGGGCTCGCCCGCCACGCTCAAGGCCGTCTCGACCGTCATCAAGGGCGTGCGCCTCAACCTCGCCGCCGCCATCTGCTGGGAGAGCTACATGCCGCTGCTGCGCCAGGCGCTCTACGCGCAGAACGTCAACCTCTACCTCGCGCCGACCGCCGACGGCCGCGACACGTGGCTGCCGCTGATGCGCACCGTCGCGTGCGAGGGGCGGTGCTTCGTCGTGTCGTCGAATATGGCCGTGCGGCCCCCGCCCGCTTCGTCGACGGAAGCTGCGGTGGAGGATGCCGAGGTGAGGGATGCGGAGGTGTACCCCGCGCGCGCGAGGCGGAACTCGTGCCTGACGGAGGACGGCAACGAGATCGCCCTGCCTGCTGATGGCACGACCGCCGCGAAGAGCACCACCTCGACGGCCACGAGCCCCTCCCGCCGGCGGAGGAAGAGCGTCATCGTCGAGGACGGCAACGAGATCGTGCTCAGCTGCGACGCCGAGGACAACAACGCCAACGCCACCAACGGCGCCGGCACGACGACGACCAACGGCACGACGGCCAAGAAGCAGCAGCAGCAGGCGGCGCTGAAGAGCGAGGATTGGATCTCGCGCGGCGGATCGTGCATCGTAGGGCCGTTCGGCGACGTGCTCGCGGGCCCGCAGTGGGAGGACGACGAGGGCATCATCTACTCCGACGTCGACTTTGAGGACTGCATCCGCGGGCGGCTGGATATCGACACCGCGGGCAGCTACTCGCGCAATGATTCCTTCAAGTTTTCCGTCGAGGGGCTGGATCTCGATCCTTTGCCATACTAAGAAAAACACAAATCAGGCAGGTGTTCCCCCTTTCGGATACGACTTGTGAGCGACATGAGCAAAGTAGTCAAAAGTATGAACTGTTTCACTCGTAATGCATGTATTCTTGATGCGCAGGTCCACGGCTAGACTGCGTGTGAGCCCCCGTGGTAGTGATATATCCATGATCCCGTCCATAAACCGATGCCTCCGTTCCACCCAATGATGGCTGCCGCCCAGATATCCCCGGTCCAATTTCATTAGTGCAAAATTTGTTCGTCAAGAGTGCCTCGATCGTGTCGCCTCACCGATCCTCGCCTGCCTTTGGCCGGCTCGTTCCCTCTTCTCTGTCGTCTGTGTCGCCGATCTCGGAGGCTTCCCGCGGGCTCGTCAAGGGGCTGGCCACGCCGCCAATGCTCCCACTGATGCTGTCCGACCTGCCGTGGCCCAACAGGCCGCTCCGCACGCTCGCTCCGTCGCCGGCGCCGCTCTGCTTCGCATAAAAACTGTTGCGCTCGCCGGGCAAGGCGGGGGCAATGCCCGTGGCCGAGTAGATGCTGGTGCGCTCGGCGTTAGCGATACGTGAGCTGCTCTGGTGGATGCCTGGGGTGGTCGGCATGCCCGCACCCTCCCCGATGTTGGCGCTGAGGATGCTCAAAGGCAAGCTTTCGCGGCTGCCGCCCCATAATGACGAAGGCGCCAGGGCGCGGACGGAGGCATCAGTATCGAGCGAACGACGGCGACGGCGCTTCGACGACGAGGCCAAGGTGATGATGGATGCATTATCGGTAAGGAGGTTGTTGGCCGTGGCTGTGGTGTACGTCGCTGGGTGGCCCGGACCCTGGTTTGATGGCGCCAAGTGGGCTGGAATGGCGGAAGCGGGCGATGCAGTCGGGAAGGGCTGGTTGAAGTGTATCGAATGGGTATGGCCCTGGTGAGAGGTGTGGTTGGTGTTGGTGGTCGGGTTTGTAGGCACGTGGGTGCCGCCGTTTGCTGGCATGGATTGTATGGTGGTGAGAGTGGTCGTCAGGGATCGCACTGACGGAGCCGGTGACGAGAAGGTGCTGTCGCCTCCCCTGCGTGACTCTACGCCCCCAACCGTCCGACTTGTTCCCGCAACCGAGGGGGCGTGGTGAGATGGGGCGACGACAGAATGCGCGCCATCGTAGTCTGTCGAAATCGTGGGGGCCATGGATCGGCCGCCAGCGGTGGGCGGGGCGCCGCTGTTATCGGATGATACGCGCGACTCTCGCTCGACTGATGTTGCGCTGCCGCTGAGGGCTGTGGAAAAGGAGTAGGAGCTGGTCTCGACATCGACATCGGCATGGCTGGTCGAGGCTACGCGGCCTGACTGGGGGTATGGATTGTTGTTCTTGGGGGCGCGGCGGAACTTTGCCTGTTGGCGCTTGGAGCTGGGTAGACGAACACCACCGCCATCGCTTGACGAAGAGCTCTTGAAGTTGGTGAGTTTCTTGACCCAGGTGGAAAAGGGACGGCGGCGACCCGCACGATCGGCACGATCTAGCATGGTGTCAGTTTCTGGATAGCCAGAGCGATTGGCGATGCGGCGCAAGTGAGAAAGTCGGCGAGGCATTGGACCGTGGGCAAATGGTTGCGGCGGCGAGAAGCGTAGGGAAAGGTGCTTAGTTACCGTGGGGTGGCAGCACAGCCTCAGTCGTAGCCATTCGGAAGCGTGTGACTTTTTTTCTTGGTGTTGTCGAGCCGGTGGTTGTGAAAAGAGTGGTTTGCAAGAAAAGCACTATCAGCGGTGACTCGCTCGTATCGCAGTCGTCGCAGGAGGGGGAAATGGCGAGGCGAAGCGTGAAAGTTCGGATGTCGTCGAGAGAAAGGAGTCGAGCGAATGTCGAGAGCGAAGGCGGCAACGATGGTCGGTGAAGAGTCGGGTTCGGAGATGAAGAAGCGACCGTGGTGGAGGACGGGGAATGGTGTGTAGGAGAGGAATGTGGTCGTCGGGCTAGATTTCGCGGGCAATGTGGACAACGGAAATGGAGCAGGAGCAAAGAATGGGAATGGGGAAGGAGGAGGACAGAAATGGGATGGGAAAGGCGAAAAAGGCTTGGCAGAATTGTTGGAAGGCAAAGGCGAGCGGAGCGGTCGATTGCCTGGGTTGGAAGCGAATTGGGACGACTGCACGCTGGACACCGTGGAAGGGCTGGGCTGGACGGGGCGGGGACACTGCCCTGGAGCGTGGCCGCGGTGCAGCGCCCTGTCCCCAGCAGTCTCCACTACGATCCACGGCGGCCCCGGCCAGTGCCCGTTCGACAGTCATGGACTGCCCGAGGTGGTGTTGCTGCCCGTCCAACCAGGCGTCTACCACTGTTAGGTACCTCCTGCCTTAGGTAAGCCCAAGGCATCTTGGGCATGGAATGGAAGCCAGCCCAGTGTGTTTTATTTCAGGCACCCTTAGCTGCAACAGAAGCCGGGAAGCGCCCAACTGACCTCTGAAACTGGTGTGCGCCGGTCGGGTGTGGTGCCTACTTTACGTGTGGTGGTCCAGTGCGAGCGTCTCCCTCCACTGTCAGTGGGCTGGCATCACTCCACTGCAAGGTCCCCCAGGACGTGGACCCCTACTGCCAGCACTCCATCCACCTGTGCGAACCGTCACTGGCTGTGCTGCGCGAGGTCAATATCCAGCGCAATCAGGCTGCATTATGTCATCACTGCTTGCTGCTGCCGTGCTCTCATCCGAAGTGTGATGTCACCGTCCTCAAACGATTCAATCCTACCTGCCCGGGGTAGGTAGGTTTGTCCTTCCCAGCATCGTTGACTGTGCGATATCCTGGTGCAGCCATGACAGCTGCGTATCCGGACGCACACAGCGGAATACGAGATGGTGTAAGAGATAAGATAGACAGTCATTCGTGCGAATACGTACTGAATCCCCTAACCCATCCAATGCACAACGGATACGGATACAGGCATCACATGTAAGACATTGGATGGCCATGTCAGCCACAGTACTCAACATCAGACGGCAGGTTGAGGCACCAACAGCGGATTACAACCTCTCGTCGTCTTTCTTCGTGTCGTTACCACCAAGGCACCCTACCCAAACCTTACTGGCCTTAAGTTGTCCTGCCTCAAATAGGTTTCCAGCCTTCCGAGACTGCTAGACTCCAACTGGTACGCTACAATCTGCTAGCTTCACCTTGCCCTCCAGTTTACCTGCTGGCGCGATCGAATGGTCAAAGCTCTCAGCTCAGTTCTCAGACACCTGCAACACCTAGTTACCACTTTCGAACTCTCAGACTCGCATGGCGTTGATTTGAGCGACTAGCTGAACTGTAAGAAAGTAGGTACGGAGGCAGAGTGGCAGTGGCATGTCGCCCGCTTACCTGAGCATCTGGTAGGCCTTTCAGATTGACTGACTGTGCTGCCTGGCCAGCAGAAGTTGCTGCCCTGTGAGTGGCTCATTCTCGTTCAGCCCAGCCACACCTGAAGTGCCGTGGCTGGGCCATTGGGCAGCTGGCACCCGCTCTTATCGTTATCGCCTTCCGTCGAATTGTGACGTCTCACTTACAATCTCGCCCAGCAGCGACATCCACCGGCCCTTTTTGGATGAAGGAGCAAACCAACACTTCCAAACGTACCCAACAACCAACTCCCACGTGCATCGCGGTGAGCTTGCTCGATCCAAGGCACTTCGTCATGGCGCCTCGAGCCCACAGCCGCCATCATGTCCATTAAGCCGCTGCCTGAGGACGTCATCCGCCGCATCAGTTCCTCAGCAACCATCACCTCTCTCGACGCTGTTGTCTGCGGCCTTATCAAGAACTCATTCGATGCAGGCGCAACCAGGATCAACATCACCGTCGACTACTCTCGGGGCAACTGCACAGTCGAAGATGATGGGCTTGGAATCCTGCCAATCGAATTTCGGGAGGCTGGCGGACTAGGCAAACTGTACCGTAAGTCTTGCCGCACTGACGCTCCCGTTCAATCTTCGTTTGACGCATTTTTAGACACATCTAGACACTCCCCTGAGAGCGAGGCCCACGGCGCCAGCGGCAACTTCCTCGCCTCGCTTGCCGCCTTGTCTCTGCTTTCCATCACCTCTCATCACCATTTGCACAACTCGCAAAACTCTCTGACGCTTCATAACGCCAAAGTCTTGGCACGCAACGTCCCTGCCTTACCGGAACAGCGCCTCCTTGCCTTTGCCCATGGAACTCAAGTCATCGTTAGGGACCTTTTCGGTTCTATGGCCGTCAGAGTCAAGCAGAGAGCCGTGGCCGCTGAGAAAGCTGCCGTCGACAAGAAATGGTCCCGCCTGGTTCACGACCTCGCCGCTCTCCTGCTGGCATGGCCGTCGCCTGTTGCCCTCTATGCCCGAGACACACTCCACAATAATGAGATACGCTTCAAGCCCACCTCAACGTCAATTAAAACGGCAAAATTCAATCTCCTTGGCCACTCATCATTGATTTTGGCCCAGTCAGGCCTTTCCGGTGGCTTGGATCATGTCTCATGGATCCCAATCGGGGCCACAAGAGGGAAGCTAACCATTGATGGGTGTATCTCGTTGAGTCCAGTGGCAACTCGCAGAGCCCAGTTTATCAGCTTTGGTGTTCACCCCGTGGCTAACGAACACGGCACCAATGTCTTGTATACCGAAGTCAATCGCGTCTTTGTCAACTCCGGTTTTGCGATTGAAGAAGACGTAGACATGTCACTGGACCAGGACGAACTACTGGTGAGCCTCAAAGGTCTCGCTGACAGGAACGTTCGACCGAAGAGGGGCTTGGATCGTTGGCCCATGTTCCACTTCCGAATCTCTTCGTCATCGGGAGTGCGGCCTCTTTTGACTTCCTCTTTCGAAGACCTCCTAGAGGAACGCAACCGGACACTATCAGACATGATTGGCTTGCTCAAGCTGGTTTGTCACGAGTTCCTGAAGAAATATCACTTCCGCCCTCATAAGTTCAATGATTCTTTGCGACGACCGGGTTATGAAGGAAAGGACGAAGTTGCTCAATCATCTGGCAGGCCCGGTAAACGGTCGAGGCCTGTGTCAATGGCATCAATCCGCTCAAATTCCGCCACTCCTACCTCAAGACCAGACTCACCGTTTGATCTCTGGCAACGAGTCAAAGCAGGGCAAGCATCGGCGGCCACTTCCAAGTCCGGGCGATCCACACCGATATCGTCTACAGCAAGTCCACTAGCGACAGCAGTGTCGTCCGTAAACGAGGAAGAGGAGCAAGACTTACAACCAAGCTTGCGCTTTCTCGATGATTCAGGCAACGTTTTGCGCAGACCTTTCGAAGATGTGCCTTTTCTCGCTTCACCAAAAAAGGCCGCGCTTCCGGACTTTAAAGGGGTGCTGTCAAAATGGGAGAACCCTGTCTTCGAGCCGGTTCAATCTGCCGTCCCTCGCGTTGATGATAAATCTCTGGGCGGACGCGATGAAGATGTTGGGTCGACACAGGCGACTGATGCTGGATGCTGCCACCACACATCCATGTCCAACATCAAACTGACTGGACGCATCTCCAAGGCTGCCCTAGTTCGGGCTGAGGTTTTGTCGCAGGTTGACGCAAAGTTTATCCTTGTAAAACTACACCGAGAACAGGTATCTGGTAGAGCACGGCCGGAACTTCAACAGAACTCAGTTCTGGTACTTGTTGATCAGCATGCCGCAGATGAGAGATGTCGACTCGAGGCACTGATGCAAAACTACTTTGAGAAGGCGGATGGGTCCGACGAGGTGGTTGCACGGACGCAGGCTCTTGAGAAGCCCCTTCAGTTAGAGTTTTCCAACAAGGAGCATCTTTTGCTGCGAAGATATGCTCATCATCTGCGTCGATGGGGCATCTTCTACATGCTGGGGGATCAAGAAACAAATGAGTGGCGGCACAAGAGCAGGCAATTACCCAAGTTTGAGGTGCTGAGTCTCCCACCAAGCATCTATGAGAGATGCAAGACGGATCCGAAGCTGCTTGCGGAGGTCTTGCGGAATGAGATATGGAAGCTCGAGGAGGAGGGCAGACCGACTACTCGGCCCTTTACTGCTGCCAAGGGTATCGCTGGTGGTGACATCGACTGGGTATCCAATTTCCACGGTTGTCCTCAAGGAATCCTCGACTTGTTACACTCGAGGTCTTGTCGAAGTGAGTATTCCATGATGAGTCCTTCGAGCATATTCTGACTTGGCAGGCGCCATCATGTTTAACGACGTTCTGTCAAAAGATGAGTGCAAAGATCTTGTGCGACGGCTGGGTCAGTGCGCATTTCCGTTCCAATGCGCCCACGGAAGACCCTCGATGGTCCCCTTGGTTGACATGAGAAACTTGAATATTCACAATGAGACCTCTCCAGTAAGTTTTGGTGCTGAACTCAGGAGGTCAGGGTTCATGAAATAGGATAGTACGAAGCTCTTATGGCGTTGTTGCACTTGGAATTTTATGATACCCAGTACTAGACACCCTCGTGGGAGGAGTAAATCTATGGATAAAGTTCAAATTGATTTGTCTCGTCAAACGTAAGCATCCTCCAAACACAAGTCATGTCAGTGACATGCTGGGGTAAATATGTGGCTGGTGCTTGTTGTTGCGCCTTATGTGGCTGAGTGCATGCAGACGTCTGAGACCCACATTCGTTGGACTGCAGCACTCCCGTGCTGTAGCACCAGCGAGAGCAACAGCTCCGAAGCTCCCCACAGCGGCGTCATTGGAGCGCGAGGCACCGACATCGACCGACACCCAGCGTCGCCCACAACACAACTCCCACCGCCGCCCCTCCGACGAGCCTTTGACGCCGAGAGATGTAGCCATGGCCTTTCAGGTAAATGCGCGATCCCAGGTACTGCCCTGCCCCATGTCCGACACCGACTGACAGACTCCAACGGTGCAGTGGAAGGCATTCGACTTCTTCGACGTCAACCAGGTCCGACTCGCCGACGACGAGACCCGCGCCTTCTTCGAGAGCAACGAGATCGCTAGTGTGTGCTCCGGCTCCGACAGCCTCTTCCTCGGGAGCTACGATGGATTCGTGCGGATCGTCGGCTCGAGCTGGAAGATCGTCAAGAGCTTCCAGGCTCACGATGTCGGGACGATCACACACATGCGCCAGATCGAGGGGACCAGCTTGCTGGTGACGGTCGCTGTAGGTGGACCTTTGAATGACAAACGAAAGGGTAATCTTGGCTGAAATATCGCAGGAGGACCTGAGCAGCGAGCCGGTGCTGAAGATCTGGGCTTTGGACAAGTTGGTCAAGAAGACCAACATGCCGACTTGCCTGAGCACCCTGAACATTACGAACAACAAGAAGCAGTTTCCGGTAGGTGTTGAGCATGACGAAATTCTGTCCATCAATCGCTGACATTCGCGCCCGCAGATATCGGCCATCGACCTCCTCGACAACTTGACGCAAGTAGCGGTCGGCTTCGCCAATGGTGCCGTGACGCTGATCCGAGGCGATCTCATCAACGACCTGGGCGCCAAACAGCGGACCGTACACGAGTCGGAGGAGCCCGTCACGGGCATCGAGCTGATGACTGATGTCCAGGGTGTGACAACTCTCTTCATCTCCACAACAGCTCGCATCCTGAAGCTGGCCATCTCTCGACGAGGCCACAGCTCACCGCCCAAGACGGTGGAGGACCTGGGCTGCAACGTGGATTGCATGACCGTCGACAAGAAAACGGGCGACGTTGTCGTGGCTAGGGAGGATGCCATCTACACGTACACGCTGGAGGGCAGGGGAGCGCCGCGGGCGTACGAGTCGCCCAAGCGGTTGGTGTCCATCTACCAAGACTACGTCGCGTTGATCTGCCCCCCGTCATCTCCGACCACCGATAAGCCCTCGGACACCATGCGGCGGCGCTTTGGCGGCGGAGCTGCCGATGCCCTCTTCAATGCGTCGACTTTTGTCCTCTTGGAACCGGACCTGAGGGTGATTGGACACACGCAGTCCCTGATCTCGCCGTTCAAGGCCATCTTCCAGATCTGGGGCGACCTCTTTGTCCTTACCCAGGACGGCAAAGTGAACCGCTTCCATGAAAGGACTCTGCAGCAGCGCTTGGAGATGCTCTATCAGCGCAACATGTTCCCCTTGGCCATCGAGCTGGCGCAGAAGTCGAAGATGGACGCAACGCAGCAGAGTGGCATTTTCCGAAGGTTCGGCGACCATCTGTACCAGAAGGCCGACTATGACGGCGCGATGGTCCAGTACATCAAGGCTATTGACACGACGGAACCGTCACAGGTCATCAGAAAAGTAAGTCGGCTACAATTCTCCTAGAGACAGGTACTAATGCATGCAGTTCCTTGACACTCAAAGGATACACAACCTTATCCAGTACCTCGAGCAACTACACGAGCATCGCAAAGCGACGGCAGACCACACAACGCTGTTGCTCAATTGCTATGCCAAGCTCAAAGACATTGACAAGCTCGAAGCCTTTATCAAATCTCCGGGTGATCTGAAGTTTGATCTCGAGACCGCCATATCGATGTGCAGGCAAGGAGGCTACTATGAACAAGCGGCGTACCTTGCTAAGAAACACGGTGAAACCGACCTGGTCGTGGACATCCTCATTGAGGATTCGAAGAAATACGCAGACGCGCTGGACTTTATCTGGCGCCAGGATCCGGAGGTGGTAAGTGGTGTACTTGCCCTGTCAAAGCCGATGTCTGACACCTTTATAGGCATATCCCTGTCTCAAGAAATACGCTCGGGTCCTCATAGAGAACTGCCCGAAAGACGCAACTACTCTCTTCATCGACTACTACACAGGCAAATACCGTCCCAGGATACACATCATCCCCATTGAAGACAATGAAGAGAGTGTAGCAGCTGGAGGCTATGTTGCAGGCGCCGCGAATGCCGTCCAGAACCTTTCCAACTTCCTTCCTTTGCCGTACATGAACACATCCTCCATCGCCAGTCCTTCAACACCAGGAAACCAGACGAAGCCGATCAATGGCGACGCCTCTCTCATCATGAATCCCGAAGATATTCCAGCACCAAAGTACTCGCCACCGCGGCCACGAACGGCCTTCTCATCATTCATCGACCACCCCGATGAGTTCATCGTTTTCCTGGAAGCCTGCCTCAAGGAGCCAGCTCTGGAGGAGAACGACCGAACAGATTTATACACGACATTATTCGAGATGTACCTCCACAAGTCCAACGAGAAGAAGGGGGATCAGCACAAGGAAGAATGGGAGAATAAAGCCAAGACGCTCATCGAGGGCCAAGACATACCGATGGAGAGCTCGAATGTCCTTCTTCTCTCCCACCTCTCAGACTTCAAAGACGGCACAACGCTCGTCAAGGAGCAATCAGGCCTCCTCTTTGACATCTTCCGCTCCTACACGTCAGCAAAGGACACCCGCGGCGCCATCAAAGCCCTCCGCAAGTACGGCCCAGAGGAACCCCAGCTCTACCCAGCAGCCCTGGCCTACCTGACCTCGGACCCCCGCATCCTCGAAGAGGCCGGCCCCGTCGAGCTCTCCAACGTGCTCGGCAAGATCGACCGGGACGGCCTCATGGCCCCGCTGCAGGTCATCCAAACGCTCGTCGGTCAAAACGGGTCCTCGGCAGGAGGCGGCGTCGCGACGATGGGCATGATCAAGCCCTACCTGCACGAGACGATCGACCGCGAGCGCAAGGAGATCGCTGCCAACCGCCGTCGCATCACGGCCTTCCGCAGCGAGACGGAGCATAAGCGCGCCGAGCTCGCCGAGCTCGGCTCTAAGCCCGCCGTCTTCCAGTCCTCCCGCTGCTCCGTCTGCACCGCGCAGCTCGACCTGCCGGCGGTCCACTTCCTCTGCAAGCACAGCTTCCATCAGCGCTGCCTGCGCGTCGAGGGCGAGTGCCCGCAGTGCGCCACCGACAACGCCACCATCCGCGCCCTACGCAAGACGCAGATCGAGACGGCCGGCAAGCACGAGCTGTTCAAGGCCGAGCTGGAGAGGAGCGAGGACCGCTTCGGCACCGTCGCCGAGTGGTTCGGCCGCGGGGTCATGGGGGCGCCTAATGCTGATACCACGTAGTTCCATTGAGGATGGTGGGAGGGATAAGCCGCACAAATGTACGGATTTTGTTGTTGGCCCAGTAGGGTTTTTGGGTGAAGGGTGTGGTGGCGTAGCGTGAGGTGGCAGTTTTTCATCGCGTAATGTAGAGCGGAGGGAAGAATGACAGAGTTCAATACCATGTTGTTTCCACCCGATGAAGACGTACTTTCCCCAGTGGTGGGTGTTGGGGAGACAGGAATGCAGTAGTTTCTCCAGGCGATGACCAACTAGTTTCCATCTGCAAACATTGTTGAATTGCTGTCGCCACCATTCCTCTTCTACTTAGCCTTCCAGAGTTCGGAACCACAGTTACGTCACAGATTCACGAAAATTTGATGCAATGGAGAGAGGTCATAGGTGATAGTGGACAAAAGGGAAATATGTCCCAAGTCTTATTTGCTCAAATTTGTGATAGAAGTAGAAAGAAGAAGAAGAAGTAGAGGGGTTATTGTGGGTGTTTACATGCCGACATCATCCAACCATTACAGCGGGAGAAAAACTAGAAAAAACAGTTGTTCCTCCCGGAAAACCTGAACGCTCTTGAAAATGCTTTGCATGCATGCTGTCAAGGAAAAAGGACCTAGACGACGTCTGGGGATAGAAATAAAAACCAGTGGCTGAGGCCACAAACCGAGACCGCCTCCCCTCCATTACACTCCCTTTCCCAGGAGACAAAAGAAAGCAAAAAGTGTGTGTGTGTGTGTGTGTGTGTGTGTGTGTGTGTGTGTGAATGTTGAAGATTGTTGATGGGTAAAAACAGAAGTCTATTGGCAGGACGCCCCTCGCCTGGCTCCTTTGTGCACCCGAGCATATTCATCCCATCCTCCGAGTCCTCCTCCCCTTCGTCGTCCCGTCACTTTTCTCGTGTCCACGTTTAATCGTCACAGTCTGCTCTGAGATACCTCCACCCGTCCCATACAGCGCCGCCAGAGAACTATGTGTGCAAGAAGAAAGTTGGAGTGAACAGCAGTCAGCTCCGTCCCAGTCGACCAGATGCAGCCCTCCTCTATATGATGGTGAAGCACATCCAGTCCTGGAATCCGCCAACGTTCTGTTGGGGCCGAGGCAATGACGCCAGAGAAAGAAAAATGTGCAATCTGATTGCATGCTGTTCTTCGAGTATGCTGTAAATAGGAAATGGTGCCAACGCCCAACTTATGGATTTTGCTGGTGAAATTCAAAAATCCGCCAGCCGCATATCGATGCTTGGCTAGGATGTGCCTGGAGACAGTGTACAGATAGTTTGGTGCTAATGGTGGCTTCTTCAGTCCCAAGAAGTATGGACCTCGTCGCCATGCACGATGACCTTCTTGGCTGTCTCGGTGCTGGCGATGCTGATGTTGGTGTCTCTCCGTCTCGCGCCGTAGTGAACCCGCTCATTGGTGCTAGCTGTGGGGGTCGGATTCATAGACTTCTTCTTCTTGGTTTTGGCCATCGTAAGTCCCTCATCGCTGTCGCTGTCATCGTCCTCGTCGTCCTGGGGTCGCAGCTCAGGTGTGTACTGAGGCGGGGCCAAGCTCCGGTTGACAGGGCTTGGGTTTACTCGCAGAATGTCCAGCCCGGAGTGCTCTCCGAATGAAGGATGCTCAAAATGCTCTAGAGGGAAGCCCGCAATCGGTTCCTTCATAAACGCTGGAGGAGTAAGGGAATCAGTCGTCTCCAAGAGCGCCGGCCTGGGGTGAATCACTCCGGGTTCGGCCAGTGGCTCTACATCCAAGTCCGCAGAAACAGAGCTAGAGCCGCTCAGTAACGCCGGTAGGGACGGGTCAGACTGGAAGGCAAGCATTTCCTCCTTTGACGGGTGATTGGTTGATGAGACGGGGCTCGTGATTTCACTCGGGCTCGTCAAGGGAGAAGCTAGGCCCGCATTTGATGTTGAACGGGATGACTGCCGGGTCTCCATGGTATCCTCCCTCGATGGTGGAGGCGGCGTGCCAAAGAGCTCATCGTCAGGGGATATCGGACAAGGCATCTCGGTGGGGTCAACATTAAATGTAGTGCCATCGGCGTCATTTTGCAGCTGCGCAAGCCTTTGCTGATAGTCTTCAATGTACTTCCGGTGTTGTTCATCTTGGGCGCGTGCAAAAGACTCGGGGGTTGAGGTGTTGTACTTTCGAGGCGGCGGTGTCCTGGCCTCTGGTAGGTTGCGAACAGTTTCGACCCTGTGGGCCGTCTGTGGTCGCTCCTCTAGATCCGCGTTCGCCCGTTGGTTTTCGTAAATGTTGGAGTCTGATTGAGGCTGGCCGTGCTGGTAACCAGTGACAGATCGGGACGAGAAGAACAAAGGCGACGCTAGGCCGCTGCTGCCTTGCTTTGCCTTGCCAAGATCGACTGATCGGACTGGGCGTGGACGGCTCGGCATTCGGTGCAGAGTGCCGGGAGCGACAGCGGTGCTGACACCAACATGTGCAGGGGCGCGCTTGTCGTTGCTAGCAAAAAGACCGCGATCTACAGACCGAGATCGTAAAGCTTCCTCGGTGAGTGCCTCTATGCCTCGAGCCTTGCGGAATTCCTTCATTGGGTCGTCGGTGGTGCCATCATATGGAGTAGGTGGCAGTGTCTTGACCTCAGGAACTCCGGCGGTCAAAGTGAGGTAGCTATTGCCGTTGGAAGGGCTCTGAGAGTACTGGTGGTAAGGTCTGTAAGTCGATGCAGTACCTGCCATTGTAGATTGGTCCGAGGGCGAGGCTGTCCCGCTATTTGTCCGAGAGTTGTTGTGACTATTGTGAAAGGTGTTTTGAAGAACGTGGAGAAGGGCGGCTCCCTGGCCGATCGCAGGCTGGGCGATGGCAGTTGCGAGAGGGTCATAGGGTGACTCGTACGGCGTGGCTGCTTGGCTGTGAACTAAAGGATGCTCGCTGCCTACGGCGAAGTCTTTGACGTTAGAAAAGTAGTCCTCACTTTTGAGGCTTTTGCGACGCGAATCTCGCGAGTGAGGGGTTGGCGGTACGTTGTACATGCTATCCCCAGCCGAGCTGGCAGCGCTACTGGCGGCTCTCCGGCGAGACTTGCTATCGCTTCGATCCCCTAAAGGGTGCATCAACTTTCCAACGGTCTTCTTGATCGTAGACCGCGCACGCTCCAGGAAGGCAATGGGCACGACGGCGTGCGCAGTCTCCTTGTCGTTGACCTGGACACGTCTTCCCTGAGATGGCCGTGCAGGATCGGTGTCATCAATCCAAGTAATGGGGTTCGGGATGCCCTGGACGACCCACGGGTGCCTCTTGATATCTCTCAGGCGGATCCGCTTCTCGGGATTTTTCGTAAACATCTGTCGTAGGAGGTCGTACAGAAGGTTGTCGATATCTTCGTAGGCGAGCTCATTGTCATCTCTGTATGGCGGTACATTGTGTCGCTTGAAAAGGGATTCAGAGTTGGGAGGCGTGGATGGATCGACAGGCTTAAGGCGTTTGCGAGGGATGAAGACATCTTCGGTCGCGATCTTCTTGAACATTTGCCATTCGTCCTCAGCCTGGAAAGGAATTCTCGCGTAGATGAGGCAGTACAGCGTGACACCAAGGGACCAGATGTCGATCATCTCGGAGATTTTGGGCTGTTCCATACGATCCAGATCTGTGTAGCACAGTTCGGGTGCAAAGAACGCAGGCGTGCCGACCGTCTTGGCCAGCTCGAGATCGTCGTCAAAATCTTGTGCTTCAGATTCCGAGACAGTCTCATCGTCGGGCTCTCCATCTCGAATGGGACGACCAAAGTAGGAAACGCCAAAATCGGAAATCTTGACGCGATGGTCCCTGGTCCACAATAGGTTGGCGGGCTTGATATCCCTGTGCACGACGCCCTGGTAGTGCAGGTATTCCAGTCCCAAGACAGTGTCTCGGAAGGTCGACCTGGCTTGTTCAAGCGTAAAACAAGGAACGTAGGAAAAGTCTTCAGCAAAGGGATCGTGCATCCGAGAATTCCAGTCCACCGAGGACATGTGAGAGATGATGGAGTCAGCCATGCTTGGTGAGCGACCCCGCAGAGCAGCCTCCTCAATGTAGGGCCCATACATTGTTCCGTCAAGAGCCGTGGCAGAGCCTGGGTTGCTAGATCGAAGGGGGCCCGGTGTTTCCATATCGTCCTCGATAGCGAAGGACTCTTGGTCAAATGCGGGATTGTTCTTCATGGAGTTGACCGACTGCGATCGTGACGGGGCTCTTGAAGTAGTACGAGACGCCTGTAGGGAGTTTGGCAGAGAACCATCGGCCCCGATTCTTTCCAGCGTCGTGAAATCGTCTTTGGATGCAACACGAGACCGGGAGCTGTAACTCGCATCATCGGAAATCCCGTGTTCAATGCTCCAGAAATCATGGACACCCATATTGGCCTGTGTCATCTTGGCTCGCTTCAACTCCTTGAGGGCGAAGCGTCTTTCCATCAAGAGATCGTACTGTTCTTCCTCCGGCGTGGCTGGTTCGCCGCGGGCTTCTCGTTCGATTCGACGTCGCTCGTAGAGGCAGATGTGAGGCAAACCCTTCTTTCTCCAGACAACTTCGCCCAACTCGACATGCTCCAAAATCAGGTAGATCTTCTTAAGTTCTGGGTCGTCGATAATCTCAAGCAATGATACGACGTTGGGGTGTCTCATCTTCTTGAGGATGGCGATCTCTCGCATCGTCTTTTCCTGTGGGGACATGGCCATGACCTTGCCAAGACGGCGTTTCTTCGAGTATCGTGGAATGATTTTGATGGCCACGTTGTCGCCAGTTTCGAGATTCCGCGCCAGCTTGACCTTGCCGTGCATCCCCCTACCGATCTCTTCGATAACTTCATACTGATTGATGAGTTTTCGGCCGGTAATGCTGTCGGAGTCGATCAAAGCTTTGTGCGTCCTGAGGTTTCACAAGATTAGCTCATCATATTATCCTCCCTGATCGCGGGGTTCCGCGATAGTCCCCGCCAGTGTAGGCTGACGACTTGACTGAGGCGTTGCGCCTCGACCAGCCATAAGTCTCAATACCAGGAGCGATCGCGCGGGG